GGAAAAAATAAGAACCAAGATGCATTATATAAAGGTGCAATTCCCAATGAGAAATGTAATTGTGTTGTGTACCTACAATGTACCAATACAAGAATTTAATACAAAAAAAAAAAAAAGAAAAGGCTTTCCACAAAATCCAACATCCCTTCCTGATAAAAACCCCGAAGCAAACATACATGTATCATACCTGAATATGATAAGGGCTATTTATGACAAACAAATAGCCAGCATTATACTAAATGGAGAAAAACTAAAAGCATTTCCCTAAAAATCAGGGACAAGGCAAGGTTGTCCACTATCAGCTCTGGTATTCAACGCAGTTCTTGAAACATCAGCCAAAGCAGTTAGGCAAGAGAAAGAAATAAAATGGATACACATAGGAAAGGAAGAACTCAAATTATCATTATTTACAGATGGTGTGATACTCTACATAAAAGACCCAAAGAACTCCACCAAAAAAAAAAACTCTTAGAATTAATAACCAACTTCAGCAAAGTAGCAGGCTATAAGATCAGCACACAAAAATCGTTAACATTTGTGTATGCCAACCATGAACAGGATGAGAAGGAAATTATGAAAAAAATACCATTCACAGACACTTCAAAAACATGAAATATCTAGGAAATAACCTAACCAAGAAAGTGAAAGACCTCTACCAAAGAAACTACAGTACACTCTGAAGAAAGAGATTGAAGAGGACATCAAAAATGGAAAGATGTTTCATGCTCCTTTTTAAGCAGCACCAACATTGTTTAAATAGACATAATTCCCAAACTGTTCAGTTTCAGATTCAGTTCAGTCTCAAACAAAATACCAACAGCATAGTTTAAATATCTAGAGAAAACAATCTTAAAATTCATATGGAACCAGAAGAGACCCCGAATAGCAAAAGTAATTTTGGTCAATAAGAGTAAATCAGGCTGCATAGCAATACCAGACTTCAGGCTATACTACAAAGCAATAGTAAAACAAAAACAGACACGTGATCAATGGAACTGAATTGAGGATACAGAAACTTTCCCAAACATATTCAACTATTTGATCAACCCAAAGGGCCAGAAGCATATGTTGGAAGAAAGAGAGCCTATTCAACAGTGGTGTTGGGAAAATTGGTTTTCTGTTCATAGAAGAATGAAACTGGACCCTTAACTCTCACCATGTAAAAATTTTTTTAGATGTACCAAAGATCTAAACATTAAAACAGAAACATTAACTCTTCTGGAACATAAAATAAATAAAACAATTGACATAGGTGTAGGAAGGAATTTTCTAAACAGAGCCTCAATTGCACAAGAAATAGTAGCAATAATTAACAAATGGAATTCTATCAGACTAAACAGCTTCTGTACAGCAAAAGAGTCAATCAGTAAAGTGAAGAGAATATACAGAATGGGGAAAAAATATTGCCAGCTACTCCTCAGACAGAAGACTAATATCTAGAAATACAAAGAACTCAAAAAAAATTAAACCACTTAAAATTGAAGACCCAGTCAAGAAATGGGCAAGATAAATGAACAGACACTTCGCAGAGGAAGAAATATAAATGATTGACAAATATATGAAAAAATGTTCAACATCTCTAGCCATTAGAGAAATGCAAATTAAAACAATGCTAAGATTCCATCTTACTCCAGAAAGAATGGCAATCATCAGGAAGTCAAACAATAACAAATCCTAGTGTGGCTGTGATGATGAAAGGAAACTTCCTTCATTGTTGGTGGGAAGGTAAACTAATACAACCATTATGAAAATCATTTTTAAATTTCTCAAAAAATTGAAAATAGAAATTCCATACAACCTAGCTATTCCTCTGCTAGGTATCTTCCCCAATGAGCTTAAATCATCATACTACAGCAATATATGCATATGTTTATATATTTTTTTTAATATATGTTTATAACAGCACAATTTGTAATAGCTAAATCCTGGAAGCAGCCTGTATATCCATCAACTGATGATTTGGATAAAGAAAATGCAGTGTAGGGCCAGCGATTTAGCTCAGTGGTTCCACCACCTGCCTCGTAAGTGCAAGGACCCGAGTTTGATCCCCAGTACCAAAAAAAAGAAAGAAAGAAAGAAAGAAAGAAAGAAAGAAAGAAAATGCAGTGGCTATATACAATAGAATACTGCTCAGTTATAAAGAATGACAGATTTGAGGCATTTGTAGGAAAACGGTTACACCTGAAAAGTACAATACTGAATGAAATAAATCAGACACACAAGCTTAAATACCATATGGTATCTCTCATTTGAGTAAGGCAAAGTACAAACAAAGAAAATGAGCGTGGATAAAAAGGAACAAGAGAACAGATCTTGTCCAATAGTGAAGTGGTCCAAGGAAACAAGGATGAAGTGTGAGAAGGAGGGGAAGAGGAAGTGACAGGAGTAAAGATACATCATGTACAGGATCCTAATAACTCCAATTAATGTAAACTTTATATGCCATAACATGAGCTAAGACAAATAATATCAATAAGTATGTAAAAAGTGACAGGGGAACCAGAGTAGGAGGAGAGAGAGGAAAGGAAGGAGAAGGAAATTAGAAAAAAAAAAAACAAGCTGTAATATGTACGTATAATCACTCCCAAGATGACTGTAAACTGTGTGAATTGCAAACATGTACTAATAAAATAAAATAAATTTTTTAAATAACCATGCAGCAAACTCAAACATAAAAGTTAATAAAAATGCACAGATTGTTTAAAAATTTCTGATAAATATAATAAAAACAAAAACATTCCACAAAGACAAATACATTTATCTCTAAATTTGCTTTAAGTTAGACTTCAGTTCCTTCTTGATATGCCACATATATTTAACTTTTATATTTACAACTATTGTGAAGTACATACCCTTTAAGTAAAAAATGCCTTTCTTATTTGTATATTATAGAAAAGTAATGGGCCTTAGAGGAAGACAGACTTATAAAGCTGAGATCAGATGTTGGACTGTGTGTACTTGGGCAGGTTACCTAACCTCTCCAACCAGTTTTTTTCTCTAGGCTTTTTTGTTTTGTTATATTGTATTATGTAGTAGTTGGGATTGAACCCAGGTCCTTCACACTGAGCTATATCCTCAACCCTTTTTATTTTTTATGTTGAGATAAGGTCTCACTAAATTGTTAAATTACCAGGGCTGTGCTAAAACTTGCAGTCCTCCTGCCTCAGCCTCCCAGAGTGCTGGGATTATTTTATTTTATTTTATTTTATTATTTTTTTATTTTTATTTTTATTCCACCATGGAATTAAAAGTGTGCAACACCATGCCCGGTTCTGTCAGTGTTTTCTTCTTGAAAAGGGAATTATAGCCAGGCACTGTGGGACATACTTTTAATCCCACTCCTTAGGAAGCTGAAGCAGGAGGATCATAAGTTCAAGGCCAGCCTGGTCAATTTAGCAAGACTCTGTCTCAAAACAAAAAACAAAAAAGGCAGAGAATGTAGCTCAGTGATAGAGTGCTTGCTTAAGCATGCCTGCTTCAATCACCAGTACTGGAAAAAAAAATTGTGAGTAGGAAGTGAGTTATAACCAAAGTGTTTATTTGTGTCAGGTGTGTGTATTAGGCATTTTTCAGCATGTTTTATGTTTATTGTGACATTTAATCTTCACATTTGATCTTCCCTGAGGTAATTAAGCACTACTATCCTTTTCCCGGATGACCCATTAAAAATCACAAACTCCTGTGCTCCCAATCTCCCTCTTCTACTTTATTCATATAATTAATTCTGTATTTATTTTACTTGTAACTTTCCTTCTATCCATCTACCAATTCACCACTCCATCTATCCAATTTTTCTCCCTACCAATCCCCATTAAAATGTAAGTTTCATAATGGCAGGAATTTTTTTCTATTTTGTTCACTTCTCTATACCCAGTAACTATAACACTCCCACAAGCTAAGTAGATACTTTTGGAATAAATGTCTTTCCCCACATTTTAGTACAGAAACTTAAATTAGATGGGGAGATTACCCAAAGTGCTCTTAATTACAAGAACTGAGAGATAAAGATTTTGGTATCTGCCTCATGTTAGTTTTCAGTAAAATCTACCATTAATGATTGCTGCATTTTCCCATACCCTAGCAAATAGCCAATAAAAATGCAAGATATGCTTTACATGTTTGCTTCCTCTTCTATTTAGATACAAAATAACTTTGATAACAAAAGCTTTTAAAAACTTTACATAAAATAGCAACTTTAATAAAATCATAATTCCTACATGTGAGAACATGTGGTTCTGATTTTACCTTTATTAAATATAAAATCTTTCTTATTGTTTTATGACAGAAAAGATTACAATAAGGATGAATTGAAACTTTATGACAATCACATAATAGGTTACTGAGTTCTCAAAGTATAATTTGGAAAATAGTTTTTTTACCTAGCTAGAGGCAGAATTACTAAAGGTAGCAGCCTTTGCAGCATTTACTTTTCACAGATTTCTCCTCACTTTTAAATTAATGTAATATGCTTCTCTCTATCAAATTGTCATTACTTGTTTGTTTCTTTTTCTCTTTCCTAAAGAAAATCCAGTGTTTTTTCCGAACGGAGAATGAGCTTATTTCCAAGGAAATGCTAAGTACGTTCACATCTGGAGGACTTGCTCCCACCTTGGAAATCATAAATAGTACATATCATGGCATCTTCCACTTTAATTTAACATTGGTAATTATGCTTTATTTTATTCTGTGATATATTTACATTAGTATACTCTTCCTTATAGGATGTGTTTTTAAAGACAAGTAATTCATTAATATTACAATAAAGATATATACATAGATATATATGTTTTAAAGCCAAA